TCTAATGGTGTGTAGGAAGACAAGTGCAAACCTGAAGTCACATGAATCGTTGCTATCATATCGGCATGTAAAAGTACCAGAATAGTCTTTATATAAAGAATCATTATCTACCTCCAAAATAACAACTATCTTCTTATAAAGGTCTTCTCCTCCTATATATTTGTACCATGCAGTTAAATTATGACAGTATTTGAAATATTGTTTGACACAATGAAGTTTATTATTAAAATATTTGGAATGAAAAAAAAATTAATGAAAGATAAGCCTGGAATTTAATCATAGTGAAACTAGTTATTTTCAACATATCTTAGTTTAAAGAACATAAATGATTGAATAGACTGAGAAAGAAGGTTCGGATAGTTCAAACTGGCAAATTATCTCATATAATCGGTATTATGCTGACTTATCACGATATAATGAAGAACTGATGTACAGTTATATATGTTAACTTAGCTCAATATCATAAAGAACTAATTTATGCTGATTTAGCTATATAAAATAAAGGACTAATGTAATAATACAATGTATACTGATTTTTTTCTTAAATGAGAGAAAGCGCAGGGCTAATGTGACATTGGATTTGGTTCTCTATCAGTTCTAAGGTGCAAAATTACACCTTATAATTTATGTTATTTTAATTTTTCTACTATATTTTTCAAACACTCCTGGGAAGATATACGTATAGTTAATTTTGTCGATGAACCAACAAAGAACTCGCGAACAATCAAAATGGGTTGATTTTAATGTGAGCCGTGTCACGACAAAACCAACATAGTGCGTTTGCGAGACCAGCCTGCGCATCCGCACAGTCTGATCAGGATCCATGCTGTTCGCTATCAGTTTCTGTACTTGTAATAGGGTAAGTAAGCGAACAGCATGGATCCTGATCAGACTGCGCGGATGCGCAGACTGATTCTAGATCCATGCTGGTCGCAAACCCATTATGTTGGTTATGTCATGGCATGGCTTATATAGTTCAAATTTGCATGTCAAGATGTGCCCATAACACAACATGTAACGCTTTTTTATTCTTCATCCCGCTTCTTTTTACGTATAAAACTGGCATTCACTCAACCAAAGTATCGAACGGTATTAAATAAGACGAGGTCACACATCGATCGATTTATAACCGGTGAATGACACTAAATGTTTCAAAAATGTCGGCAGACTCTTACGTAATTCGTTCTCTGGAAAGGCAAGCGGCGGCTTGTTAAATCCTCCAGTGCAACTCGGCTTCATTTTTTCCAATACTGAACTTGGAAACAAGTAAACACATATAGTAGGTTTTCGACCGATAAAAGTGCGAGCTAAAAGATTTCTTTAGCGGGTCAGGTCGTATTGATTTAGTGTATTTTATAGAAAAATGTGCATTGGTACGTTAGTTGATATATAAAAGAAAAGGGATCAATATGTTGAATACATGGCCTTAAATTATCCCGTTGCTATGAGTTTAAAAAAGGGTAGCAATACTGTTATAAGAATTTTGAATTAATACAATGTCCATAAAGTACAATCAGTATATGTCTCAATATATTAATGCATGTAAAATTCTAAAATAAGAAACAGATAACGTCATACATGTATTTTACATATCCTGGCATCAATATATTATATATCTATGGTGGCACAAAGGAGACACGTGTGTGTTTTATTTATCTCGTAAGCACGAGATACTAGTTACTTAGTCGTTGACACGAGATAATTAAGTCATGGGAACGAGATACCATGTCATGGCCACGAGATACTATGTCGTGGCCACGAGATAATTAAGTCGTGGGCACGAGATATTATGTCGTGGCCACGAGATACTATGTCGTGGGCACGAGATAAAGAAGTCGTGGGAACGAGTTACTAAGTCGTGGCCACGATATCTGACCGTATATATTTAGACAATTACCTCGGACTTCATGAGTCAGGATGTTCTCCGGTCTCATGTTCTACATAGTGCCCATGCTTTATTCTCATATTGGTACACGTAGCTTTCATTCACCAGTAAAGCTGAACATTTGACACATGGCCTTGACAATAAATACCTCACAGATGTTATAATATACTGATTTTTACTTAGATGAGAGAAAGCGTAGGGCTTATGTGACATTGAATGAGAATTATCAGATATTCGTGATCATTTTAACATACAAAATGTAGACTAAATGGAAGTAACTTATTTCCTTGTCAGTTATATTTCACTGTTACTAACCTACTTGACCTCATTCACTAGTTTCTGTATTGTTCTATAGGGAATGATATAGGGAATGCCAAAGGGAAACCTTTAGGGAATGCAAAAGGGAATGATATAGGGAATGCTATAGGGAATGATATAGGGAATGATATGGGTAATGCCAACTTACAGCTCAAACTAATTGGCTTGATGCTTCTTTTGACAAATAAATGAAAATCGTATTAAAAGTTTTCTTTCTATTACATGATGTTGTTTTTGTTTTATTAATTCTTACGCTATTCTGAAGCATATCTCACGCACATGACGGCTCGAATTTAGGTTGGTTGAAAGAGCACGAGTTTCAGTCTCTAACGACTGTCCTCCGTGATTTTGTACTTAGAAGTGACATTGAATAGCGTTGAAAATCAACAGACTATGACCTTAATAAAATATTTATTTTTTACGTAACGATTCTTTTCTCCATATCAAGGTTTGTATATTTACAGCAATGAATGACGCGAATTACAAACAGTGCAATTAGTTGAAGTTTTAAAACAATAAGTCATAAACAATAATTCGTATTCAAGAGTGCATGCATGATGTCACGTGATCATTCTCGTTTGACTGACAGCTGTTCTAGTGACCTACTACCTTGTGTAACAGGTTTCGCCATGAATCAAGAGAGTGTGTCAGTACAGTATAAAGCGATGTAATTGCGTCAGAGGGTGAACGTGTATATCTGCTTGTTTATATGCATTTAAAAACCAACGAAAAATAAGTTTTTTTTCAGTTAATTGGCTTAAATGAATATACCGTTAGGTTTAGTATACAGGAAAATTTACGCATGCGCAGACATGATCTGCATAAACGTTTACAATAAAAACATAGATTCATTTAAACTTGACAATTTTGCTTTTTGATGGTCTTCCATGAAAAGAAATTTCATAACTTGAAATGTATGATGTGAAAGTGTTCGTACAAATATACATTCAGGCCCAACTTAAAATGTACATAACATATCGTTGGTGGATGTAAATACAGGTATCAGTAATAAGTTGTGAGACACAAATACTCCGGTCATAAATGTTAATTGATTTCAATATAAACTGTTATTCGTAACTTTCCGGGCATTTCCGTTATACTCCGGAAAAGGATCTCTATTGGAAGCATGCAGTTAAAAACTCAAATGCATGTATTCTGAATATTTGATTCATCATTACTTTATATGAGCCTTCGTTGACGTGTTGATGACTTCCTGACACGGGACAATTATACACCACGTTCTTTTGAAAGATTATTGAGTCCATCTTAATATGCAAAGATTTCCTGTCCCACGTAGTCTAATTTGTTTCCAAGTTTATTAAGGTTTTCCAACCTGTTGTTCCTAAATATATACTTAGTCAGCATCCAATGTCGATTTTAATGGTGTCCAGGGCATACAGTAAATTTTTTTTCCACAAAATGTCAAATAGAATATTCAAGATCATTATTGCTTCTCTATAAATCTAATAAAATGAAAGTTTCCAAAGCCCTAGGGCGTTCATGGAGTCTCCCCCTTCCCAACCCCCAATAACACTCGGATCTACCATTATATGAGCCGCGTCACGACAAAACCAACATAGTGGGTTTGCGACCAGCATGGATCCAGACCAGCCTGCGCACCCGCGCAGTCTGATCAGGATCCATGATGTTCGCTTATCAACTCTATAACAAGTAGAGAAACCGATAGCGAACAGTCAGACTGAGCGGATGCGCAGGCTGGTCTGGATCCATGGTGGTCGCAAACCCACTACGTAAGTTTTGTCGTGACGCGGCTCATATATACATACTCACACAAGTGCTTCCAGAGTCAATCATAATTACACAGAAATGTACTTTTATAATGTTATGGCTTACAACGCGTGGGATGTTATGAGAAAATCTGATATATAAAATTCTCTGTAAAGGCAACATCTGTTCATTATAATTAAAAAACGATAATAAACAGTGAACACAAATATTGTCTCTCTTTCGGAACACCTCGTCAATTATACAAAATCATCCCGGAAATAGTAGATCTATCACGTGACTTTTGATGTCAGAGTTTTTTTGTACAATGAGAAACGAATGTATTGTTTTGGCATCAATTGGGGATGTTTATTTCGGTAATTAAACAATTGGTTAAACCTTGTTTTGCACCACAACTGGTTCTCATTTTAGTTCCAGTACAAGGAAAGTCGAACATTTGTTTAGTTTTAGAATTACAACAGGTAAGCAATTGCCAAGTTAATACAGCACCAATCAAGGAAAGCTTTTAAGTTTCAGTAACAGAAAATGCCAACATTTTAGATTTATCACTAGAATATGTCAGCTTGTTAGTTTCAGTACAGGTTGGCTTTTTAGGGCATGTTCCTGAATAGGTCGACAGTTTTGTTTGGCAAGCCTTATCTAAGAATGCCACCTTACCGACCATATGCGTTGTCATCCCTTTTTATAAGCATTCCAATTTTAATAGTAAACAAGTTTTCCAAGTTTTAAGTAAAATGTCTAGAAAATAAACCTTCATAACGGGTTAACTATGAACTTCTAAGTTGAAATGTGGCATAACTGAGGAACGAACATGATCTTTAGGCCTATATGTTTTTTTTTTTAAATTCACTCCAAATTTGATTTAAATGTTCGAATGAACACCTTTGACATTTTTTTGAGAAACGAGGGAAAAAAGTGGCATAACTCTGCAATGCATAATTTTCGGATTATCTGCACGTATAAGAAAAACGAACATTGACGAAAATGTTTACAAACGGACGATGACAATGGCTATTGGAAGTGGGGTTTAAAATGATAGAAAGACACATAATAAATTTCATATACTTTTTTTTATTTTTCATCGAATCAAATTTGTGGTCAAAGACATAAATAAATAAATAAAACTATAATACAGTCATTCTTAAATGGGTCATGAGTTGTGGCTGCACATTGTATCAAATGTAAAAAATAAAAACAATGTAGAGTAGACTTATAATTGTACATGAGATGATATCAGTTTAAATTCTCTGTCAGTTCATTTTCTTACAATTCACAGATCCTTATTTGGCAGATTTTTACCACTTGTAACATAAATGAGCCGCGTCACGACAAAACCAACATAATGGGTTTGCGACCAGCATGGATCCAGACCAGCCTGCACATCCGCGCAGTCTGATCAGGATCCATGCTGTTCGCTTACAAACCCTATAGCAAGTAGAGAAACTGATAGCGAACAGCATGGATCCTGATCAGACTGCGCGGATGCGCAGGCTGGTCTGGATCCATGCTGGTCGCAAACCCATTATGTTGGTTTTGTCATGGCACGGCTCAAATGGCAAGAGATGAGCAAATTATATTCACCAGACATCTGTTTTAACATTTTAAGAAAAATAAAATCAACTGTAAAACTTATCAGGTGTAACCCCCGTGCATAGTGAATGATACAGTTGAATATATGTAAAAGGTCAAATATCCAATTATGTACAGTCTAATATGGTCTCATACCAAAATACACTGCTTCAATAACATAAATCTTCATGTATAGCATTTCAAGAATGACATTTTAACCTCTTATCTGAGCATGTTCTTATTTACTTTCATGGAAAAAAAATGTAGGCAATAATTTAAAGAATTTGCTCTACAGACATAAAAAGATGTACTTTAGTAGATATTTGTTAAATGTTCATACTGAAAATTACAAAACATACTTTTTCATCCTAAACAAATGCAACAGTATTATTTATCAAATTATGTATGCTTTTATCCTGCTCTCGAATTTTTCTAGAAGAAACTATAGCTAATTGATAAATTTTATATACATCGACAAACATCGTCTGTATTGGTAATGATTGTTTAAGTATATAAATGTTTCATAACCAAAATGTAGCAATACCTTTGTTTACAGTAAGTTACACAGTGTATGTGTTTATTGACCGATTTTACTTTAACCTTGATAATGCTCAAGGATATAGATATATTTAAAAAATTTCCATTAAACTATATATGAAACATTCAAAAACAAATGAGAAAAGCGGCGAGTTTTAACCTGTCCCACTTAAAACTAGGTCAACATCGATTTGTTAGCAGACGAATAATTATCCATAACATTCCGTAACGCAGTCATTTTTCCTCTTTGTTTAAATGGCAGCATGTCTTAGAAGACGATGAAATACCATACAAACTCGTAATGCTTTTAATAGTTATCATTTCCTGTTTAGCATAACATAAATCACAAGTCTATTTTAGGAATGTTTTAATTATGTACCAATGTATCTGACAGAGAAAACCGGAAGTGCGACGACGCGTCTGAATGAAAGTCTCACTACAAATTTTGCAACATTTCTTTCAGTAAAACTTGCATGTCAGTGTTTATTCTTTTGCAAAACAGATTCTCAACCATGCGGCAATTTATTCCATATAAAGTTGGCAGGAGCATAAGGATGCGTGAATAATGCATGACGTCATCTGGGCGCGTGGTGGTCACATGCTGTTGTAATAACTGTTGCACGGCAGAGTTGAGTTTTTCCACAAGTTCGGTATTATCTAATCCAACATTCCCTGAAAATACAAATAAAGAAACAAATAAATACAAAGGAAAGGCAGAAATTAACACCCCTATCCCAAGTTTTTTTTCCTGCCACGGAGAAGGTATGTACAAGAAGGTCAATATTTAAGACATAATAATAATAATAATTGTTTTCACTTATTATGTCAGATGAAAGTTATGACTTTCAACTGATGTTTTCAAGTTTGGCTATTTTCAGGCACATCTGATAGCACTAATCAACGTTAAGATGAAGTGGTCAGCAAGTGTAGTGGTCATTTAAGGGTGAGGCTGAGGGCTTTGTCCTTCGTTCAGGACACTTGGTCAGTTTGCGGTCATAGGTTGTTAGTTACAAGTCTTACATGACCTGACCTTGGCCGAAGTTCAGACAGTGGTCAGTGAAGCAAGTACAAAGAAATTATTACTGGAATGATTGACCATGTTAATTACTACGTCGATTGACCAGTAGTGACCATATGACCTTGGTGTATTGGTCAGTTTCGGACAATGACCGCCTTAACCCTGACTGCATTAAAATAACCGTTTGCTAGTAATATAATGACAAATCATTCATGATTTAGATTAACTTTAAGTAAGAATATAAATCTACATTTTCCTACAGAAAGATTATTTCATTTCTTTGTTTTTATGGGTTTTTTTGTTTGTTTTGTTTTCTTCTACATAACATTCCCAATATCTTTAACCCTTAATGTTTATATTCACTGTATATAATAATTATATGAAGCCAACATCAGACTTTACTATTAATTTTTGTGATTAAGTAAAATAATCTATCATTTTCCACAGAAGTATGCACTGTATACCGAAGCCTCAGTTTCGACAATGTCAATGAACTATTGGGGGTCACGCTGTTTCATAGCGCTAAGGTTATTGACATTTTTTTTCTTTCGGTTAGTTGAATGACTTTAAGTTTATTACAACTAAACAATCCCCTCAAAAACAAAATAAAACATAAATACAAACTGTATTATACAATGTAGAAGGAGAGAGTATAAACCTACCTGAATTAAAAAGGACGGCCATTCGCATGAGAGCATATTCTTTCTGATCCATTCCCATGTTTCTGCATTTCCGCGTGAAACTCTGAATCCCCTCAACTGATTTCATGGTCGGTTCATCTTGAGACGGCGTGACATCATTTGATTGTTTTTCATCCCGATGAAGTGGAGTGACAGCGAATTCATAATCATTTTCAGCCATAAGTAATAAAAGCATTCTTGTCCAAGAATTTAACAATAGTGTCATTTTATCGTTTTGAGACATTGACTGAAATTCTGGAATTGATTTTGAAAACTGCACGATTTTCACGAGCCAGTCTGATACGCGTGATGTTATTGGATAAACCATCTTTTTAGCAAGAGTAACTCGGGTTGAACCAGTCACTGGAATATCCGGTCTGTATACGTCAGATCCGGGAGAATCACGTCCACTATCTGAGCTGTAGTCAGTGTTAATATGTTTGCCTGGCCTGAGTAAAGTACGTAGAAGAGATCCGTTTCCAAGACTTTCATTAAATTCACTCTCGTCCGAAACTATTGTAGAACTATGTTTTGGCTCAGCCTTACGTGACAAGTCAATAGGCTGGTCATCAATACCCACTGAGTATCCTTCAGAATTAGAAATAGGTAAACGAATGTCGAATGCTATTTGAGATCCTGAGTACGGGCTGTTGGAATTTTCATGAAAATTATATGGTGAGTTTGCAAGTCGGCTTGATGAATACGGACTAACTGCGCGGCGTGTTTGGTACGGACTATTTGTTAGACTCGGTGAATATGGTGACCCGTCGTTTTGATGTACTGAGTAAGGTGATCCTACGTTCTGACTCGGAGAGTAAGATCTATTTGGAGAACTGTAACGTGGAGATGATCCAATGAATGGAGACCCTGATTCTTGAAATGGCGATGATCTTCCTTCATATGCCGGTGAAGATCGTTCATATACACTACCACTGAATTGTGACGGATCGTGGTAATAAGATCCGTTACTATAATTTGAATGCCTATCCACCAATGGAGAATGAGTGCGTTTTGGTGATCTTGTCACCAAATGAGATTGTGGTGAAGAGTTTTGCACAGAACGCATCGGAGAACTACAAGTATAAGGTCTAAATGAATGCACGTGATCCCTTTCGATATGTATTAAAGGTATAGTTGTGTCCTTTTCAGAATCCCTACACTCTTGAAAAGTAGTCCGATGAGATGACGTCAGATGCATATATGCTGAAGGGATTTCCCCAAGTAGCACACTCTGTAAAGTATTTGAATTCCGTAAGTTTTCAGATGATTCCTGATGCATTTTTAAACTATTTCTTTGTACACACACAGGGTTATGTAAATCCGTCACTGCAGAGTTTAAATTATGAGTTGGTGCCATTATATAATGCAACCATGTAAAATATCCGTGTTTAAATCCTTTCAGTAAATATCCTTATCTTCGTGAAAATTTCTGAAATAGAAAACGAAAAGGAATTTAAATCAAACTTATTTACAACTAATATCATTCATACATAAAAGTAAAATCTAGGCGTGTCTATGCGCAATAATCCCCTCTATTACATATCGGCGTGAAACGGTTGGTACCTGCAGCTATATATCTTCATATGATCTACATGATTAATTTTTGAATATTTATATATCCAAAATATTAACCGATATATTTACAGATTACTTAGTTTTTGTCTTGAAAATTGTATGATTTTTAAAATTTAAGTTTTTGTCTTGAAAATTGTATGATTTTTAAAATTTACAAAGTATTAAAAACTAGAGCAAACTGGTTTAATTATGGATCCGAATTTAACTGATTATACAAGTAGAAATGGCTACCTAGTATCCTTAAATGTCAAAAATATGATGAATATAGTTTAACGTTTAAACTAACTCCTTGTATCAGCGTAGAAATATATCGAAAAAAAGTAAACGAGAAGAAATGTTTCCATACAGTGACGTTTAGCTATTTTATCCAATAGTTTAACTTGAAAAAAAGAGACTTCGATAAAGTACACTGTACAGCGCGGATGAAATATTGAAGCAGACGATATTGTAGGAATGTAGGTTAGTAGTGTCATTCGTTGACCTTCGAATACGCAATCGTCTATTTTAGTCGCTCACGCACAAGTGGGTGACCTACTGTTCATAGATAGCGCTTGCCTCGTTCAGACATAATATAGCAGGACTAGTTTGTATTATTTTATTGACAAAGTCACCTCTCGGTTGTAACTTTTATCCTAGATTTATGACAGAACAATATCAGCGAGTAATAAAACTGTATCAATTATTTATGAATGCGAAAAGTGGGTGAAATAAAACGAATGACCATATGAAAGACTTACGATTTTTTCTTATTTCATTTAATAAAGATAATATTTAACAATTTAAGAAATGAAAAACAAAGAGAAAAAAAAACAAAAAAAACCCTCAATATCAGTCAATTATTAAAATACATGAGATCGCTTATATAATAATAATAATAATAATAAAATAATAATAATAATAATAATAATAATGATAATAATAAATCTTTCAGTACTTTAGGGAATATTTACTTATTGCAGAAACCTTCAAGAAGCTAAAAAATATTTAATTTCTTAAAACAAAGAATTAAGTAGATCTAAAAAAAAGTTTCATGATAAAAAGTAACATCAATATTATTAAAAAAATAAAATAATTATATATACTTATTAGTTAACGGACACAGCTTTTAAACTACATCAGTCCATTAATTTATATACATATTTAAATATCTATAATACATACCTTCTATCCAAATTTATTATTCTCCTGTTATTAATATAAATAGTATAAAATAGTTTGTTTAATCTCCCGCGAGCGTTCGCTAACCAATATTTTCTGTACACTGAAGAATATTACGAAACGTTCAAAGTATGTGACCTTAAGTTCGTTTTTTTTTATCCAATCAGATGAGGCGTTGCATATCGGTGAAGTAGAATGTAAATCTAGTACACTTGACCTAGCGCAACATGAACATGTGACTTATGACCCTTACTCTCTAAGCAAAGTGAATTAAATAGTTTAAGTCGGGTATATTTTGTGGGTTTACATATGATCTCAAAGTCATGAATGAGAAAAGTTCATGTTTAAGACTTGCAGTAAATCTGTGTTTTCGATTCATAAATTCTATCGACAGTTGCAGAGCATTTGATCATTATCCGCTTTCTCTATTTGTTTACGTTTAGAGAATATTCGTGACCCGTGTTCTTAAAATAGCCTTCAGTATGAATGACGTCAAACGACGAAACTGAGTAACCTTGAGCGAAATACACAAAAGAGAAATACGCAGTTCGACTGTGTGAATGTACTAGAAAGTCCCGCCCGGATTATTTCGGAATGATAATTCACATGTTTATCGTTGAAGGTCATAAGATAGAGTGGAAAATCTAGAAGATATATTTAAATGTTTATGGAAGGCCAATAACTAAATTAGGAATGTTGATTATTTTATCAGGAGTGTTTCGGCCATGTTTAACTAGTGGTGAGAGGTAACAAGGAACAAAACTCTGACCTTGTTTCCAAATTAGTACTGCTTTTCCACGAAAGGAAATGTACGGGAATTGATTATAATAATAAGATCTAATAATAATAATAATAATAATAAATAATAATAATAGATCTAGCTAGATCTTATAAAAAAAAAAAAAAACAGACCCCCCCCCCCCCAAAAAAAAAAAAAACACCCAAAAACAACAACAACACAAACAACAATAACGTTCTGATTAATATTTGCATTGTTTACTATTGTTTTTCTATTTCTTGAGATCTATTGCTATACATAAGCCTGTCTATCTTCATTATATATATATATATATATATATATATATATATATATATATATATATATATATATATATATATATATATATATATATATATATATATATATATATATATATATATATATATATATATACATACATGTACATAGGATCTACATGTAGATCAACATCTTGTCAAATTACAACTGAAACCTTATTGTTCTTAGTCTCCCGAAATCAAAAGTTGATATTGACGCACTCTTTATAGGAAAAGTGTGCTAGATCTGCACCACTATTAGTCACAACAACAAAGTCCACAATAATAAACCGTTACCATATATGAGAGTCTTCTATTTGACCGAATTAAACATTTTCAAGAGCTCGTTGAAGATTTAACTTGTTTGAAACATCCTATACTGTGTGAGATATGACAAGGTCTCTTGAAACTATGTTTCTGGATTTTAACTGTTCGTATAAAATTTAGTATTTCAGATTTATGCTGCACATACCATTTTTAAAAAACTCAATAACATTTTTTTTTGTTTTAAATTCTTGCTTTCCTAGGAGTCTCTACTTCTTCGATTTTTTTTCAAAGTCTTAAAGGAAGGATCTAGATCTATCAAGATAATGTATTCATCCTAAAAATGTGAAAACATAAAATTTATCCCTATTTATATAGATAGGGGTACCTCTTTTTCTTCCAGTACTGTACATAACCCGCTCTGGGGCATTAACGTATATATAAATATAGGGATGTGTAGTACTTAAAATGATTTCGGTTATTTCAGGCAGAGCAGAAGCACCTACCAGAAAACCCTCTTCCAAAGTTATTGATGGGATTCTAACTAGTGAGCTTGACTTTTCAAAGCCGACCGATATGGAACTTAGAAACCTCTCCCCAACTCCTCACGTCGCGGAAGTATCGATTTTACTTTTCCATTCATTAACTAATACTCACAATGACATCTCTTCCTATAACATGAATATATCTGTTCAAGGTCGGGGGAAGTTACGTGTAAACATCACGAGAATGAAATTTTCTAATGCACCGAATCACTCCATATTTGTTTACATGGAGATAAAAAGTACTGCGCATGAATTCGTATTGTGCGAACTTGACCGAATTGTTATTTATCGACTCTGACCGTTTAAGTAAACAAACTTTCAGTATAATATCTAAAGTTGTTTATATTCAAATCATATTTTTGTTTAGGGTATGTCCGGTTTGAGGTTTACCCATAGATATGTGGTTGTTTTGAATGACTCGCACACAAAAACAACAAAAAAGTTAAAATACAGTTCAGATGTAAGGAAATCAAATTTTCAGTACATTGTCTTTCATAAGCTTCTATAAAAGTTAACGTGGTAGGTATTCCTCAATTTTGATTTGTAGCTACATGTGCGTACATATTGAAAATGTGTACACAAATGTACATAATACGTCGAATGAAATTAAAGATATGTACTCGTAAATGTAATACTAAATGTGAAGAATTTACTCTACGTGCTTCCATATGGAAGGGTAAAAAGAACATGTTGTGTTTGCGGTTCTTCTGTCCTTCTTTTGTTATACGAGAAGGTCGTACTTTTTATCTGTAAGTTGCCTTTCGTCACAAAATGAATTCACTTGTTAGAAACTGAAATAAAAGTGTATTAAACTGTATACACGTTGTTGACAGTTTAAAAATATTGTATGAATTTAAAAAATAACCCCAAAAATGCAAGTTTGAAAGAAAAAGGTTACCAGAGAATGGCGCATGTCGTTTACGTACACTATGATCCACGTGACTTTTTATTCTTTGTTACAACTTTTTCGATTAACTTCATTAATAGCAAAATGTAATGATTTTAAAGCGCTGAGCTAATACAGGGTGGGATTTTAAAACACTGACCTTTCCTAAGCGGGCTGAACATTATGTTTACACTCAGTATCATCTTCAACAATATATCATTATATTATATCGATGAGGGAGGGAAAACATTTGCAATTACTGACCTTACAGTTCGTAAATTACTGCATCCACTGACAAAGTTAATAAAGATAAAATGACAATTTTCTTACGGGACAAATGATAAAAATGTTGTTATATACTGTTCACGTAAACACACATGCACAACTCATAAAACCCTTACTGACCTTTTCATCTAACTGACATTAAATAACACATATTATCTTCTTCTTCAAGTTTGTTATTTGTTAGTTTTTGTTTGTAAAATAAACACAATTTTGTTTTATACACAGAACTTTTGACATATTTTTACCATAAAGGTTAACCATCAATCTAAACATTTTCAAAAATACATATACATGTGTACGATTCAAGGTCTTAATTTCAAGTCAAAACATAGCAGTTAGCTCTAACGGAAACCCCACCCACTCACTGCATTTCAACATAAATTATTCAAGTGACGTCAATGAAAACCTTTAAGCCAGATTATATGCGTATGGTTGTTTTGTTTTCTATGTATGCATCAGATCCATTCATATTCAAGTCAACACTTTTATTTACCAATAGATATTTCAACCAAGGAAGGTCGAAGTATTTACGTACGGAGGTATGGAAGCTGTTTACATCTGCGGTTACGGAGCAATGAAAGATCACGATATGAAAGATCATCATTGTATTTGGCTCATATATTAGTGCATACTCATACACAAACTTAACCTTCAGAGATTGTCATTTTCATTATTACATTAACATCTGATCGTAACAAAAAAAAAAAAAATGAAATCAGTATAAGCTTGCGAAGACACTTTTATTTAATTTAATTAAGTATAAAACCACTTTTCACGGATATTTTTTATAATTCCTCATTAACGAGTTTCTTAAAGGGACTCCACTGAGGTTTTTTTGACCTGACGGGACTGGAAATAATTTTTTAAAATTATTACTCCATTTGATGTAGATCTATACTAATAACGTATGTGCAAAATATCAGATCATTAGCTCCCTCCGTTTTTTCCAGAATAAATATTATGTTAGTGAAAAGTGACCCAAAATTGAAAAGCGTTTAAACACTTTTCACTCAAATTGGACCGAGAATAGCACAAACATATGATTTTCAATGTATTTCTTGTATATTTCTTGGTTATTTTTTATTTATATTTTTAAGTGCACATGTTATCTATGTGACAAATTAAAATTTTATGTTTTTATGCTAAATCTCAGTTGAGTTCCTTGAAGTACAAACTGGATTCAGATTTAACTTTATCATCATCTTCATCACCATCATCGCCATCATCATCATCATCAACAACAACATCATCGTCGTCATCATCATCATCCTCATCGGCATCATGTTGCACAGAGGGGTACCTAAAATATTCCTCCGCCTCAGTGATATTAAAAATCTATCGGATAAAGGGAAGCTATCACGAGTAATAAAATTTATTGTCTTAACATTATTACTTCCCTTCATATTTATATTACATGAACTTAAAAGGTCGTTTACTCGGCTGCTGAATGTTGTTGTTGTTTGTTGTTGTTTTTTTCTGAAGAGTTCGTCATAGGCAGTTCAAATGATTGTTTAGAGGTTGTAGATGAATATAGCTAATATGGAATTATTTTAGTAGTAATGGTTCAATTCTTATCAGCTAAAATTGCAAAACAGGTCACAACAGCTATGTAATGTTTCAGTAAAAATATCAAAATTATTGTGCTTACCTACTGAAACTGTTTAAACGGTACTAATATTAAAGTTACCTATGATGTTATCTGCAGCTTATAAGAGGCTAAATAAGGTATCACTACTGTAATACCTTCCCACACTGCCTTATCCACTACACTTGTTCATTAAAAAATAATAAAATAAAAAATTCTTAAAAAAAAATATTAAAAAATCAAATAAATAAATAAGAAGAAAAAGAGAAGATTATTTCAACAAGGCAAGGCGACGTTAACGTTCACAGAACGCAACCGCCAGTACAAGCATGCTACACCAGCAGGACACCGAGAAAGCACCAAAACAAAAGTAGTTGGTCAATGGAGGTGCGGGGTCATGTAAAAGTGAAATTATAAGAACTTAAAGTGCCGACACGGAAATTAAAGGGACAAAGGGAGTAAGGAAAAGGGGGAAAGCGCAGGGAACATACAATGGCATAACAGGTAGGGGTAATGGAAAGAAAATACTCACCGATAACGACAATTTAACAAGGGCAT